TTCTTTCTATTTTTTGTTAAATTTTATATACTAAAAATAGTAAAAACTAAAGTTGAAAGAAAAAAAAAAGGAAATTAATAGAAAGAACATTTGATTGTATTCTTATACATATTTGTACAGATGAGTGTTTAAGCATTTGTAAATGTGTGCCTTTGGCTGTACCGATATATGTGTTGTGTCGGTTTGTCTGTGTTGATGTCTGTCTGAGTGTGTGTGTGTGTGTGTGTGTGTGTTTTTTTAAACTATATTTATTTGTGCTCATCCATTAAGCGTGAAAAACTCCAAACCACTATGGCCATATAAAAATCTAAATAGATGCTTCAACTAGCCGTCCGGGTATATCAACTGATTTTGTTGTTGGTAGAATTTTTTGCACTGCTCACTAATTAAATGTATTCATATTATAATTTAGTCAACTCTTATCGCTCGTCTCCGTTTTAGCATCTCCGTCCCCTATATTCCATTCTCTCCTTTCCTATCCGTCTACCTCTCCCCTTTTTCCTACGCTTCCACCATCATCTCCGTTGTTGTCGACCATCCATCCATCCTCCTTCCTTGACTCTCTTGTCAATCCACCTCTCTCATTTTTCAATCTTTCAATTTTAGCTTCCTCTTTCATCTTGATCTTCATATTCTTCTGTTATTCTAATTCTCTTCTTTCTTTTTGGCTCCAACTTTTATATTCTACTCTTTTCAACAAATTTTTTTTCCTCCTTTTTTCCTCTAGCTAAGCCCAAAAACAAACAGACAGCAACAGCGACGGGGGAAAAAAAAAAAACGTCCTCTTAGAGTGCAATGGCTATAAAAACTTGTTTTTGCTGTTTTTTCTTCTCATCTTCCTTTAAGCATAGTTTTTTCACCACCTATTCCATCAGCAAAGTCACTCATCGCATCATCGTCGGCTGATGCCAGACTGCATTTTGCCGTTTACAACCTGCATATCTTTCAACAGCTACAAGAACAAAAAACTGCAAAGATAACAAGGGTAATAACGACAGCGACAGCAACAAAAACAGGGTTGGACTAGGTTGAGAGGCTGGGATATTATTTCCAAAAGTTCAATCAACAGACAAGGAAAAAACACAAGTGTATATATTTCCATTTTTTAAGAATTGTTTTGTTCTTTTTTTTTTTTATTTTCCAAGTTTTCATGAAGTGCTTCACTAAGCTTAAAACACTATTCGATTATTTTTTTTTTCTTCCTCTCCCTTCTTCTTCCTGTTCCTCACTCCCGTAACTTTTTTCCCCTTCTTCTTTTCCGTCTATCTATTCACTAACAGCAACAATCGACTAACTAAGCTTTGTGTTTTGAAAACAAAAAAAAAAAAAAAAA